TTTATTGTACAATTTTTTGACTTACAGTATAACGATGATACGCATTCTTCTTTCGCTTACTCGTTGCTTCTGCACGATCAGCGGTTGTGGCTGGATCGCTCGGCAGTGCACGTTGCTGTAGGTCAGCGTCGGTGAGTTTTCCGTTGCACGGGCGGCGTCCTCGGTTTGCTACGATCGGCTAGTTGCTGGGCGTTACGTTGGATTGCTCCTTCCTTTGCGCTTCAGCTTCTTGTCACGGTTCTTCTTCCGGGTCTCTCAGATACTGACGATTTTTTTGGCTCGCACTTGGTGCTGATTTGCTCAATTCGTCAATCGATTTTTGTTACCGATTGTGTCTCGAAATAGTTGGGCGTATCCCACTATTTTCTTATTTATTCCTTTAGCTGGACCAATTCCACCGCTGCCACCAATTTTGTTGTGCCTCTCCGGGTACAACGGGAATTTTGAGGATGATCCAAGGGTTCGGTTCGTCTTTAGTTCTTCGTCTTGGGACTCCGAGTGTCGAAAAACACGAGGCTGAGATTCCGTGCAAAAAGATTTATTTGTACAGCTTACGTATCGTAGAGTTCGGTTTGGTGATGCTTCGGCGATGTAACAATGTCGGCGTTTACAGAATCTCACAGTTTCTTCAAGTATACGCGTCACCACTTAGTTTCGGAATACGGCCCCGAGGTACTCGTTATCTCTCTTTTTATGGTCCGAAAGTAGGTGATTTTTCGGTACTAGGTCGCGATGTCTTAATTGCATTTTGCAACGATATGCATATCTTGCATTTAATCGCGGTTTTGGGAGCGCGCGCAACAGCTTACGAAGTGCTGAATTTGCACTGTGCTCCTTTTTTACTTTTATAGGTCGTAATTACGTTATTGGATTTCGAGTTACGACATATTTTTAAATTTTTTGCAAAAAGTAGTAATGCAAAATATATATTAACCTAGTCATTAATAAATGCTTTTTGAAAAGAATTATTGAATTATTAATTAAATAAATTATAAATAAATAAAATTACAAACCTTTAAATTCTCCATTCATCTCGCGTTGTAAAAATTGCTTATTAAATTTGTGAAATATTCGTAAGAATTGCTGAAGAGGCAGTCTACAAGATAAAAAATCTTATATGCAATGTTAACTAAATATATTGTTGGGCGCTCTTAACTTAAAAATAATATTAATTTTGTATAATATTAATTATATTAAGAAAAATGGAATGTTTATGTAGTATATACCTCCCCTCAATTAGAGCGGTTTGAGCGTTGGCAATTTTTGTGTTTCTTTCCCGATTTACACGTCTATATGTACGTCGAGGATTCAAATCTTTCTTCACACGAAAAAAATCTATTTCTTGATCAATAATTAATTTTTTTAAATTATCTGAAAATAGAATATTAACAAAGTTTTAGTTGTTTTCAGGATTATTCTTCTTAAATTGAATTAGAATAAAAACTATGATTTTTATTAATTATTTTATGTCAATCAAAATATTTTCACATATTTTGTAATACGATTATTCTGCTGTAATAATTCAAAGCAATGTATTTGTACAAAAATAATTAAAATAATATGTAAAATTACAATTTTCTATTATATTTTGTTTCTAAAATTCCATTGGTAAATCTAATATTTTTATATCAGATTAAATTAGTAAAATGAAAGATATAAATTTTATATTAAATTATAATTACCTAAAAATATCCATATATTTGAATGTGGTTTTCGAAGTTTCTGTGCAGCTATATTGTTGAAACTTTCTACAGCATTGTTTGTTCTTACAGGACAACCAAAAGTGCTAACTTTCTCTGCTATTGGTAACCACGTATCAGTCATATATTTTAAGAACTTTATTATATTAGGATATTGAAAAGATATAGAATTAGCAATATCTTGCATAATTATATAGGCGTTTGGAAATAAATTAGCCGGTAATAAAGGTATGTTCATTGCAATGCTTAGTAAGTCTGTTGGAGCTTGCGTTAGACCTAAATTACGCCATTTGCGCAGAATAGCCTATATTACAAATAGATATAATTTTAAAAATCTGTTTTATCTATACATAAGGCATTGCAATTGCAACATAATTTATTTATTATTAAGAATATTAATATAAAATATACCTGGTTGAAATGAAACCAACAGCCATGAATTTTCGATTGAGGAAAATTTTCATTCATTGATGAGATTGCTGCTGCTTTTTTAATCTGACATAATAAAATGTAGATTTTTTTGAAAATCAGGAGCTAATTCTTTAATCTTCTTCCAAATAGCATTATACATTGATTTAGTACGTTTTTCGCATAAAACATATACTGCAGCAATGTTCTAAAAAAATATATATTATTATCGCATAAATCTGTGATAAAAAGTAAATAATTAGAAATATTTCTTTCAATATGCTCAACTTACTGTTTCCATGTATCGAATATGTATAGTATACATTTGTGCAACATGTGGAAATCGTGGAACAGCCTACAAAGTAATAATATATAATTAATAATATATCTATATAATTAAAGATATATATGTATATGTAGATATATTATATACATATAGATGTATAGATGTGTGCAAGAACGATGCTTACAGAAAATGTTCCATCCACATATATCTCTGTAGATGCTGCTAATGCAACTAATAAAATATCAGTACTAAAAATAATAGCTATTTCGTTATTAGTAGATATGGCATATCCTTTATATATTTCTTTTACTGCCTCATAATTTAGCAAACTATCTTTTAATTCCTCCATAGAATTCGGTATAGGAGGAAAACAGCTATTTCTTATTCGATGCAGAATTGTTCTCATAGATGAATATGTGATGCATGAACCCACAAGTGGATTACTGTAAATAAAAATGTATATTACTTATATAGCTCTTAATTACTTACCATAATAAAAATGTTACCTTCGACAAACAAAGTCAAATATTTCTTTCGGTTTCAAATCAGTTTCTTTTGACATATCTTTCATATCTTCTTTTAATTTGATAATATCAATAAGCTGAGGATTATGATAATGATTATGTGAATGTTTGATAATAAAATTATCATTATTCTTGATTAAACAAGCTGTGCATTTGGTCAATTTTCGATTAGCACAACGTAAAACATTATTACGCTTATCTAAATGGTATGTATAACCTTCATATATATATTTAATAGTTCCCTCTTTTTTTCCGTTTACAATTTCCATCTATAAAATAAAATATTAAAATCTACTCAAATATAATATATACAATAACATATTCAAAGTTAGAGTTATTAAGATTTGCTATTTTTTCATTATAGTGTGGAATTGGACAGATAATATGCTGGACAGAATAATTTCTTGCATAAAAATAAATTGAAGAAGTAGAATAAAATTGTCTCAAACATATTGGATACTTGTATATTTATAATCAAATATGCATAAACTTATTTAATTGGTAACTAAATAAATGAATTTAACAATTATTTTACTTAACTCACCAACAATGTCGAAGAAACTAACTAACATCAAAATTATTTTAAGTAAGTTTTTAGTAAGTAAAAGCTGTCAATAATTAAAAAATTTATATGATAAAAATATAAAAATTTATAGATATTCCTAGTAAGCAATTTGATAACAAATTGTTGTCAAATTGGCATCAAATTCGCTCAAAACTTGGTAACAAATTCAGTGCCATCTGTGTCCGCATTAAGCTTGTGTTTTGGTGACAAAGCTTGCTGACATAACCTGAGAGCAAATTGACGGCAAAAACCGAGCAGAGCTTGACATGATTTGACGTCAAATTGGTGGCAAATATCGAGCAAGATCTGCGCAGGACAATCTGACAGCAGATTGTCAGCAAAAACCGAACAAATTCTGCAGCTTTTGGCCATTCATATAAAATAGTATATTTAAATGGATTTAAAGTCTCAACCCTAAGTAATAAAATGATGATAAGTTTTGGTCATAAAATGACCATTAGATAATTAGACATCCTAAGTTAGGTCTCATAAGACCCAAAATATATCACATCTACGGGAGACCATTTTTTGACGTTCTTTTGATGGCAAAAATAAGACAAATTACAGTATTGTTATATAAAATCATATATTAATGTTTTAAAACGTATAAGTAAATTTAAATAATTTAATTTACAAAATTAAAGATCTTTTTGGACAGAAATTGTTCGAATAAGTGAAAATTGAACAATTATCTGTCCGATTTGTCAAAAATCAGTTCAATATTTGAATTTCTTGTATAAGAATTGTGTCAAAAATTGAACTGATAGAAATATATATATTATAATATTATTAGCATTTTGTAAACTTTATATACACTCATGACAAGAATTTGAATACGGGTATAGATAATGAATAACGCGCCGCATAGCGATAAGCGACTGAACTATTTTATAATACTTTTTAATAAGCTGCAGATTCTGTTCGGTTTTTGCTGCCAATTTGCCATCAGATTGCGCACTTCAGACCTTGTTCAGTTTTTGCTGACAATCTGATGTCAGTCATGTCAGCAAGCTTTGCTCGGTTTCTGCCGCCAATTTGCTGTCTAGTTATGTTAGCAAGCTTTGCTTGGTTCTTGCCGGCAATCTGCCAGCTTAATCGGTAATAACAACTCTTGCACCAAATTTGTAGCCTTTTTGCTGACAATAATTTGTAGCAAGCACTTGGCAATATCTGTTAGAACAGACGTGGCTGACTGGGAATTTATTAACGCGGAATAGTGTAAGGAAGAGAAGTGTTTTCTTTTAATCGATGTCATATCGAGTAAAGTTTGGTTACATTAATAAAACTGAGCGAATATTTACAGTGGAGTGAATCTGTGCATTATTAATTATAACATATTTGTGATAAATACATTATTGGAAAATGATTATGAATAAATCGAAGGAATATTTGGAGATTTTGGCTGGCCATGTTTTCGATAACGATAATAAGCTGGTAATTATTCGCGCGAAAGCGCATTCATGTATGTAATGTTTATTTATATTTTATATATAAATGTAATTAATGCATAATTAATATTTTTAGGTTAACTTACAAATGGCTAAAAGCAATGAGTTTATATTAATATAGCAAAATAAATCTTGTGACAATTCTATCAAAAATATCATAAAACCACAGCATTGAATACACATTTTTATTATTTGGCTTTATATAGAATAATAAAATGATAAAATCATATCAAAGCACTTCTATAGTGTATACAAACATTTTGAGGATCTGGAATTACTCGCTACTTTTGGTTCTGAAAATGTGAATGTTTATTTATATTTTATATATAAATGTATTTAATGCGTAATTAATATTTTTAGGTCACTTACAAATGGCTAAACAATGAGTTGCATATTTATGTTAATATAGCAAAACAAATCTTGGGAATTCTATCAAAAATATTACATTATATATAGTTGAATTGAAAACGTCAGAGTTAGAGTCTGAAATAGAAATGTTAAGCATTAGTCAAAGAAGAGAAATAAGGTAATAATTTTGTTTATAAATTATATAATAAAGGTTATTTATTTTCTTAGACTAAATTCTCAGGGACAAGACTTATTATTAATCTATTTAACTTTTTTTGATATAATGGTTGAACTTATTTTTTAAAACAATGAGAAACGTGGAAATTGATAGTTTATTTGGATAGAGCTGCCTTTTGCAATAGAATGTTATCGGAGAACATTAGAATATCTGTCATCGACAAAAAGTAGTTCAAATTTGGATCAAAATGAGGAAGAAGGATTGGTTAGTGATACTAAATTGCAGATTTTATTAGAGGATTGTATAAAAGTTTATAATAATTTGGCAGTTGCGTTGGTTAAAACAGAAACCTATGATGCAGCTTTAGAAAATATGAAACATGTTTCGAGGTGTCAACTACGTGTATCGTAGGCACAATATTGAGACACAAAGGGAACTATGTAAAAAACATGTTTCATATTTTCTAAAGCTGCATCATAGGCTTTTGTTTTAACCAACGCAACTGCCAAATTATTATAAATTTTTATACAATCCTCTAATAAAATCTGCAATTTAGTATCACTAATCAATTCTTCCTCCTCATTTTGATTCAAATTTGAACTACTTTTTATTAATGACAGATATTCTAATGCTCTCCAATAACATCATATTGCAAAAGACAGCTCTATCCAAATAAACCATCAATTGCCACATTTCTTATTGTTTTAAAAAATAAGTTCAACCATTATGCCAAAAAAGTTAAATAGATTAACAATAAGTCTTGTCCCTAGAGAATTTAGTCTAAGAAAATAAATAACCTTTATTATATAATTTATAAACAAATTTATTACCTTATTTCTCTTCTTTGATTGATGCTTAACATTTCTATTTCAGGCTCTAATTCTGACGCTTTCAATTCAACTGTCTATGTAATATTTTTGATAAAATCCCCACAAGATTTGTTTTGTTATTTAACATAACATGCAACTCATTGCTTAGCTATTTGTAAATGACCTAAAGATATTAATTACGCATTAATTACATTTATATACAAAATCTAAATACATATTCACACATTTCCAAAACTAAAAGTTACGAGTAATTCCAGATCCACAAAATGTTTGTAGTTTATAGAAGTGCTTCGATATGATTTTATCATTTCATTATTCTTTATGCCAATTAAAAATGTGTATTTAATGCTGTTGTTTTTGTGATATTTTTGGTAGAATTCTCACAAAATTTATTTTGCTATTAACATAAACTCATTGCTTAGCCATATATGAGTTAACTTAAAAATATTAATTATGCATTAATTACATTTAAATGTAAAATTAAATAAACATTATATACGAATGCGCATTCGCGAGTATAATTACTAGCTTATCGTTTTCGAAAACATGGTCAGCCAAAATCTTCCATAATCATTTTTCAACAATGTATTTATGACAAATATGTTAATTGACAATGCACAGATTCACTCAAATGTAAACATTCGCTCAGTTTCGCTAATATAATCTAACTTTGTTCAATATGACATCGATTAGAAGAAATCACTTCTCTTCCTTGCACTATTCCGCGATATTCTTAATAACTGTTAACCACTTTTATTACTTTTCTTCTTGTGTTGCACTATTCCGCGATATATAAACATATTTAATAAATCAATATTTAATAAATGCAAAAAATATTTGATCTCTTTTGGTTATATCATTTATTAGAATACATTTTAGAAGGAATTATATACTGTTAAAATGTATGCGTTTATTCAATAGAATGGTCATTTTTGTAATTTTCACCCTCATGTAAATTACAGAATCGATACTTAGATATGAAAATAGAGAAAGCGAAGACTCTGATTGTGATTGTGAGTACAAAAAGCAAACACAAACAGATATTATAGATCTCTTGTTTCGCACTGATGAAACACTTGAACGCACTGGATGATGTAAAATAGATTTTGCTTTAACAAAACATTAAATATATATAAATGAAATTTTAAAGTTTTTTCACATGTTCATATCGTAATATTTCATCGGTATGACAGATCCCCTAACCTTTAAAAGTGTCATATTATTCTTGTTAAAATATCACTTAT